GTCGCTACACCTCACCGAATATTTGTGCCTGGTTTTCCCATTGCTCTCATTCCATGCTGGTATTACTCTGTTGTGGGTCATGCATGTGTCTGGGAAATCGACAGATGAAATGAGCGTACAAAAATCTATGCATTAATTGTGACCCCGTTTATTTGGACTACATTGGCTCTCCCGGGGACTAATGCGGTTAAACACGGCTGCCCAAATATTGTCTTCCAATGGAGCAGCTCGGTTCAGTCGTCCACACTTATTCTCAACCTGAAGATGGTTTCACCCAACAGAACGCAAGACAGTGACGATCGATGCTATCTGGTTTTGGGGGTTCACGAGATCACTTTCCGTGTTGAATGAGATGCGGGTGTAGGACATATTTTCGTAAGGAACGAAATTCTATTTTGTGAACGGACTATGAGTGAGGGAAAACCATTAATCGAGTACGGTCGGTAGAATTTTTTCTTATTAAATTAAGCGAGTTAACACTTAGTCGTAGAACTTTTCGCTCATTCTCGTGTCAAAATGTTTATATAGTACACGTGTGTCACACGTTAAAGATGACAAAGTTGTTTTGTGAACTGAATATTGAGCTTGAAAAAAGCCATAAAAGAGCCCAAAAGAGTGGATGCTGTTTAGATAAATGTAAATAACTCTGGGCCAAAACTGGAGATGAAGTTCATCTCCGAGTGTGTCAATGTGAAATATCATGAATTATCTGCGTCTCTCTCTCTCCGCACGTTCAATTTATAATCATCAATCTTCCTTTATGTGCTCGGAATACTGCTATGCGACTGACGTGTATTATTGTGTGCTCAATGAGATCATAATCTCGTTTTATGTGGCCATTATTCTCTTTACCTCTCTCTCACACACCGTTCTACAAATACAATGAGTGGGGTGCGTGTCGATCGGGTCGATCATGTCTGTTTTTTTTTCTGTCTCCCTCTCTCTGGGCGTAAACACCGGTTTCGGATATCACCTGATATAACTGTTCACATCTGTTCATATTCAGATCACACACGCGCGTGCTTGTCTACCAG